ACATTAACCAATAATATTAATAATTTTATGTAATGATATAAAAAAATGTAAAATAAATAAATAAACACCATTGGAAGAATAAAGAAAATATAATAATTCTTCATCCATTAGTATTTAATGAAATGATAATAACTATATAATAACAATGACAAAAGTGTATACAAGAGAAGATAGAAAACGATATGGATTGAAAATACCAAAAAGATTTGATAAGATTGGGGATAGTTGTTTTAAAGATTGTAGGTCGTTAAAATCAATTAAAATCCCTACAAATATCACATCATTAGGAAATAGGATGTGAATGTTTTTATGTATGTTGGAATTTAACATCTATTAATATACCAACTTCTGTTATTAAAATTGGAGATGAATGTTTTAGTGGATGTAATTCATTAAAATCAATTGAAATACCAACTTCTGTTATTAAAATAGGAACAAATGTTTTGAAGGATGTAGATCATTAACATCAATTGATATACCATCATCTGTTAGTAAAATAGGAAATGAATGTTTTTATTTATGTAAATCATTAACATCAATTGATATACCATATTCAGTTAACGAATTAGGAAGTAATTGTTTTGATGAATGTTCATCATTAACAAGTATAAATATTGGAAATGTTCAATTTACTACTGAGGACAGAGTGTTTGTAGGAAAAGAAAAACTAGTATCATTTCCTATTAATAACTTAAAAAGAATTTATGGAAGACCAATAAGAAAAAGAGATATTAATGAATTTGTTATTCCAACATCAATTAGAAAAATAGGAGATGGATGTTTTAAGGAATGTAAATCATTAACATCAATTAATATACCATCATCAGTTAAAGAAATAGGAAATGAATGTTTTAGTGGCTGTAGATGTGAAAAAGAACTAACAGAAAAGGTGAGAGAAATAATCTATAAACAATGTGATTGGGATGATGACGGGTGTGTTGTTGTCTAAGTGAAATGAATTTTTAATAAATTTAAAGTTTTAACAAAGAAAATAATAAATATGAAAAGAAAGAATAAAATGAAAGTAATTTTTATGAATAACATAACAAGATAAGAACAGAAATAATATAATTAGATAATGAGAATATAACAATGAATGAATAATATAAAATAAAGAATAAATAAATAATTATTGAATTAATTCAAATAAGAAAAAGATAAAAAATGAATAAATTAATTAGATGAATATTATATTTTCATTTTATAAGAATGAAATGATTAATTTTCAATAATTTATAATTATCAATGATATATTGATTGATAATAAACATTAAATCATTTCAAATAGAATAAATATTAATTGAATAACATTTATAAACATTATATAATGTTATTTCTTATTTTAAATTAATTTTTATTTTCATTATATTTTATATAATGATTAAATATTCTATATTTTATATAAAATATGATTATCATAAATTAATTTGATTTATATTTATTTTATTTAATTCTAAATGTAAAATAACAATCATTTTATATATATTTATAATATAATTAAAATAAATGATAAAATATGAAATAAATAATAAATAAAATTAAATATATAAATGATAAAGAATGTTTAATATGTAATTATAATAATAAAATACTAATAAATTAAATGATAATCAAAATTCAAACATAAAATAAATGATAATATAATTGTTAATAAATGAAATTAATTAATTAAATTATGATATTATAATTTAAAATTGAATTATATAATATAATACAACATAATATTATTGAATTCTATGTTATTTTATTTTATCTATTTAATTTCATAATATGATATTTAACTATCATTTCATAATGAATTAATAATATTTATTTTATTAATTTATTCATAATGTTTTATTCATTCATTAATAACAAATAAATGATAAAATGAATAATAAATAATCAAATAAATAACATAATATCATAAATAAAAAATAATTAAATAAATATAAATAAATAACAATGATAAAACAACATATCAATATATTGAAATTAATTATTTCAAGAAATTATTATCATTCAATTTATTAAATACAAATAAAGAAATAATTAATTAATACACTTAAATATTATATAGAGAAAATTGAATTTAAATTAAAAAATGAATATTTAATTATAAAACATTTCATACAATTTTAACAATAACAACAAACAAATAAAAAGGGGGTAAATATAAATATGTAATTTTATTTTATAAATATTTCTAATTTATCATTTGATAAAATAATAAATTAAATATGTTAAAATGTTAAAAATTAATTTATAATTGAAAATATTGAAAGAATGAGTGATGTTTTGTATCAATTAAAATATTCATATAATCTAAATGTAAAACAAAATATAATAATCAAATTTATATTATGAGAAGAAGAAAATGTAAATTATTATATTTTAATATACAATATTCATTAGAATATAAAATATGAAATAAAATAAATGAAATGATAATTTATTATTCAAAAATAAATTTAGAACGATATCTTCATTAAATATGAATAATTAATATTTCTGATTATTATATAATGAACAACAATAAATTATAATATTAATTGAATATAAATGAAATGAAATAAGAGATAATGTTCATTTAAATAATAAAATTAAAAGAATTAACAATATAATAAATAATTTAATAATTATATAATTCATTTCATAAAATGAATTGACAAAGTTGTTTATTTATAATAGATATAAAATATATTAACATGATATATGATAAATATAACAAATGAATGGGAAAAAAAGAAAATAATAAGTAATAGAAAGATAAATAAATATAAAAATAATAGATATTATAATGATAAAGAATAAATTACTTCAAACAAAAGAAATGAATAAAAGAAATATAATAATAATTGATTTAATGAAGAATTTAATAAAAATAATTAGAATAAATTTATAGATAAATATTTATTTAAAAATATAATGTTTTTATTGTAAATTTAAATTAATGAATATTAAAATAATAACAAAAATAATTCATAAAATATGTTAGAATAATATTTAAATGAACAAAATAAAAATGAAAAAGAAGAAATGATAATAAATAGAAAATTTTATATAAATTGAAATAAATCAAATATAAAAAGAATAATAATTAATCATATTCACAAGAATTGATATTAGAAAGTACAATATAAAGAATATTGAAATAACTATATAATTGATGAAATTTAATAATTATAACACCATAATCAAATAAAAAATAAATAATAAGTGAAGAAATAAATAAAAGTCTAAATGATAAAAAGATAATTTTTTCATTTTTAATAAATTGAACATTAACAATTTTTAGAAAATATAAAAAGGGGGTAATAAAAAATAAAGAGAAAGAAATAAAATATAAATATCATTTCTATCAATAGAAAACGATAAGGGTTACTATTGTCTTTCATAAAACGATAGAATCCTATTATAGTATAAAAATAATATTCCATTATTAATGTCAATGTTATTTTAATGTAAATTTAGTGTTGAAATTAGGTATTAATAAAAATAATAAACATCACTGGAACAATAAAGAAGGTCATTAATTCTTCATTCATCAGTATTTCAACAGATAAAAAAATTATAAAATATCAATGAGTAATATATTTACAAGTGAAGACAGAAAACAATATAGTTTATCAGAATTAGAAAAATATAATGGAATTGATGATGAATGTTTTGAAGGAAGTACTGACCTTGTTGAAATCAATATACCAACAAGTATAGAATGGATAGGAGATAATTGTTTTAAAGAATGCACAAGATTAACATGTGTCAATATCCCAACATCAGTTACATCAATAGGAAATGGATGTTTTAAAGGATGTTCATCATTGGTAACAATTAATATACCAACATCAATCAGTGAAATAAAGTATGAATCTCTTAGTGGATGTACATCACTTGTATATTTTAAAATCCCAATTTCAATTACATCAATAGGAAATGGTTGTTTTAAGAACTGTTTCAAATTAAAAAAAATTAATATACCTACTTCAATTAAAGAACTTGGAAATGAATGTTTTAGTGGATGTTCGTCATTAAGAAATATTGAAATACCAACGTCTATTAGCGTAATACCATATTACTGTTTTAGTGGATGTTCATCATTAACATCAGTTATTTTACCAACTTCAATTACTAAAATAGGAAATAATATTTTTCAAAGATGTAATTCATTAAATTATGTTGATATTCCATCATCAATTAGTAAAATGGAATATGATTTTGATTGGGGTATATCATCAACAACAATTAATATACCTACAACAGTTACTGAAATACAAAGTAGATGGTTTAATGGATTTAGAGCATTAATAACAGTAAATCTACCAACATCTGTAAGTAAATTAGGAAAGTGTTTTTATTATTGTTTATCATTAAAATCTATTAATATTCCAACGTCAATTAGTGAATTAGAAGGTGAATATTTTTATAAATGTTCATCATTAACATCTATTACTATTCCAACATCTGTTAAATATATCGGACATGACTGTTTTTACTGTTGTAAATCATTAACATCTATTACTATTCCAACATCTGTTAGTGAAATAGGATATGAATGTTTTTATGGATGTGAATCATTAATATCAATTAATATACCTTCATCAATTAGTAAAATAGGATATAAATGTTTTAAAGGATGTTCATCATTAAAATCAATTAATATACCATCATCGATTAGTGAATTAGGAGATGATTTTTTTAAAGATTGTTATTCATTAACATCAGTTACTATACCACCATCATTTACATCATTTGGGCGGTGTTTTAGCGAATGTACAACATTAAAATCAATTAATATACCATCATCAATAAGTGAAATAAACAGTAGTTATTTTAGTGAATTTACATTGTTAACATCTATGAATATAGATAATTTACAATTTGTTAGTCAAGAAAGAATATTTATGAATGAACCAGTGTTAATTTGGATTGAAATACCGAGAAATTTAAAAATAATCAATGGAAAGAATATTGAAAAGAAAGATATTAATGAATTTATTATTCCATCTTCAATCACTAAATTAGGATATCATTGTTTTTATAAATGTTCATCATTAAAATCAATTAATATACCATCTTCAATTAGTGAAATAGAAGGTGAATGTTTTTATGGATGTCCATCATTAACATTAATTAATAAAATAGGAGATGAATGTTTTTATGATTGTTCATCATTACAATCAATTACTATACCATCATCAATTAGTGAATTAGGAAATTGTTGTTTTAAAGGATGTTCATCACTAAAATCAATTAATATACCAACATCTGTTAGTAAAATAGGAGATGAATGTTTTATGTTTTGTAAATCATTGACATCAATTGATATACCAACAAGTGTTAGTAAAATAGGAAGTGAATGTTTTATGTATTGTAAATCATTAACAATTGTTAATATTTCAAGATTTGATATTGAAATTGGAGACGATTGTTTTTGGGGATGTCCAGATAATTTAAAAAAGAATAAAGTACTAAGAGAAATTTATTATAAAGATGGATGTATGATTGTTTAATTGAAGAAGATAATTTGAATTGAATTTGAATTTTAAAAGAATAAATAAATATTAAAATAAGAGATAAAATAAAAAGAAATAAAATATGTAAGTATAAATAAGAAGAAATGAATAAATAATGAGTCATAAAATTATAAATATAATAAAAATAAATTATATTATTTTTATTGTTATTTTGATTATTTATAATTCTTTTTATATTAATTTATGTTATTATAATATCAAATAGAATATTTAATTTAAATAAACAAACAAACAAATGATATTTTCATATTATTAATTAAATTATTATAGAAATAAAATATAGAATATTATTATACATTAAAATCATTATATTTCATTATTATTTCATTATTTTATTAAATTATTTATTTCATTTTCATATTAATAAATAAAGATAACAAATAATGAAATGAAATATTTATTTAATCATTTTATGATTTATTTTGATTAGTTATTAATGATTTTATTAATACTTAATAATATTGATATCATTTTGAATATTATTTAAATAAAATATCATTATTTATCATTAATATTTA